TTTGATGGCTGCATAATATTCCATTGTATATATATACCATATCTTCTTTATCCATTCATCTGTTGATGGACATCTTCCCCAGCCTACATATTTTAACCATAGGCTACGCTGTAGTGGCTCTTGGGCTCTCCTAAAACATGGTGTATCAGAATGGAGTAGGTCTCCACTAGGTTCACTAGTAAGAGGACAAATGTACTTAAAAAAAAATATTTTTAGGGGCGCCTGGGTGGCGTACTTGGTTAAGTGGCCGACTCCTGATTTTGGTTCAGGTCCCCATGATCTCAGGGTGGTGTGATCAAGCCCCACATTATAGGGTTCTGCGCTCAGCGGAGAGTCTGCTTTGGGATTCTTTCCCTCTCCTTCTGCCCCTCCCCCCACTCACACAAGCACTTGCTCTCGCTCTCTCTCTCTCCAAAATAAATAAATACATCTTTTAAATATATATATTTTATATTACCCATAGGAATGGTAGAAACATCATCATAAGACACATACACTAATAACTAGACCATTACAGTACATGCAACACATACAGTCCCAATGATAGCCCAGCCCTAAGCAGTCTGATTTTCTATCACGCCACACACATGCACCCGCCAAACTACCCACCAAAGATGAAGGAAACAGGAGTAGATATTTGACCCAGACATGCTAATGTACAGGCTGCTAATAGCCCTTGAGATGACACAGCTGAAGAAGCTGCACCCAGGCAACCATGTGTACGTTCAACCGTAATCTTATTCTCCAAAATATGACCTGGGAAATGGAAAAGCTCAAAGTCTTGAAGTGTAGAGAGAGCAGAGTTATGCCGGGAGTGCAGACATTTTTAAAATTAGAAAAATCTAGTAACAGAAGTGATTAAAAGTTACAAACTTTCAGGTATAAGATAAATAAGTTCTGGGAATTTAATGTAAAGTGTGATGACTATAATTGATAGTGTATTGTATATTGGAAAGTTGCAAAGATAGTAGATCATAAAACTTCTCATCACCAGAAAAAAAAATTTTGTGACTATGCAAGGCGATGGATGTTAAGTAAACTAACTATGGTAAGCATTTTGCCATATATGCGTATATCAAATATTAAACTTACATGATGTTATATGTCAATTATATCTCAATAAAACTGGAGAAGAGAAAAATCTGGTAATGCAACTTAGTACATTACAACAGAATAAAGAAAAACCCATCTGATTATTTCAGCAGATGTAGAAAAGGCATTTGATGAAATTCAAACACCCCAACCTACACAGGTGATAAAATTGCATGGAACTTAACACGCACACTCTATACTACACACACACACACACACACAGGACTAAGGTCAGTGCATTGTGTCAGTGTCAATATCTGTATTGTGATCTTATATATAATTTCCAAAATGTTACCAATGGGGGAAATTGGGCAATGTATACAAGTGATCTCTCTGTACTGCATCTTAAAACTGCAATTATCTCAATTAAAAAATCAGCTTTAAAAAGACAGTGCAAGAGGTGGAGATTGAGGAAAAAAGGGAGAGATGAAGGAAAAGATCGATTTATGGAAACAAAATGGCATTAATCCATCAAAATTTGATAAATTAAAAACATAAAATAGTAATTTTATTTTAACAATCATACCCCCTCCAACTTCCCAAGTTTCAGTATAGGCTATCAAAGTTTAAAGTTTCAAGTTTTTGCATTTTGAGAAGATCATAACCTTTCCAAGGCTGCTGCCTACATACTAAATATGATGAAAGCAGTACTAACATATATGACAGAGGGTCAGGGATATATTACAATTTACAGTGCCTACAATACAAACCTGTGTCCATCGCCTTTCCCTAACGTCCATTATATAAACTCCGATGCTTGTTATGCTACCTTTGTTTCAGCTATTCTAATAAAAGATATGGTTTGCCAAAACAAAACCTCACCAACAAAGAATAGAAAGGAACTTCCATAATCTAATACGGACTCTCCCCCAAATCCCACACTAAACATTATGCTTAAATGGTGTTTGGAACAGATATGAAACCATTATGTGTTCTTCATATTAAAGTTAAGAACAAGGCAAGGATGCTCACTATCACTGCTTTTATTCAATACTGTACTGGGATCCTAGCCAGTGCCATTAAAAGTTTTTTTTTTTTTTAAGATTTTATTTATTTATTTGAGACAGAGAGAATGAGAGACAGAGAGCATGAGAGGGAGGAGGGTCAGAGGGAGAAGCAGACTCCCCGCCGAGCAGGGGGAGCCCGATGCGGGACTCGATCCCGGGACTCCAGGATCATGACCTGAGCCGAAGGCAGTCGCTCAACCAACTGAGCCACCCAGGCGCCCCAGTGCCATTAAAAGTTTTAATGTAATTAGTTATATTTAATTTAATTTAATATGCTTAATTTAATGAAGTATACTTTTAATTAAGCATACATAGGAGAAGAATTGAAAAGAAACAAAATTGTCACTATTCACAAGTCATGTGATTGTTTAAAAAAATGAGTGGTGAATTTTAGAACTAATAAGAGTCCACCCAAAGTTGCTGGATTTGAAATCAACAGCAGAGGCTGAAGAGCCTGTGATGAGTGTCATGAACTGAAGTTCTAAGTAAGCAGGTAAGACAACCCATTAGTACAAAGAAGAGAAGCAGAAAGACCTAGGAAAGAGCTGAGCCCTAGAATGAAGACCACCAAGCCTCGCTAGCTGTGTTAAGCGTCTCCCACGGCATTAGATTAAGTTCTAGCACCTGTGAGTCCCAGCTAGAGCAGCTCCTGGGTCTTTGGCTCCCACATCTCCCTCTTCCACAATACTCACCACAACTACCTGTCCACACTAACCCGATGGCACTCAGAAGAGCCCAACTAAACACATAAAATACGATGGGGCGCGTGCGTGGGTGGCTCAGTCAGTTCAGCATCTGACGCTCGAATTCGGCTCAGGTCATGATCTCAGGATTGAGAGATCCAGCCCCTACCCCGGCTCTGTGCTCAGCAGGGAGTCTGCTTGAAATTCTCTCTCTCCCTCTTCCTCTGCCCCTCCCCCCTAAAAATAAATCAGTAAATCTTAAAAAAAAAATACATAAAATATGAAAAGTAGACACAATTTCAGAATTGAAATAAATTATTTGAGCTCTAATTTCTACTTAAAATTATAATTTGTATATTGTATTTGTATAATTGTAATCTACAAGCACAACTAATCTCTAAAGCACTAGCACTTGGTTTGGAATATATTATAGATCTTTATAGTAGGTACAAAGGTACACACTTCTTTGCCCAAAAAGTATCATTATGTGGGACAGTCTCTACTGTGACGCTTGAACTTCAACAGCTTCAGGTACAAGGCCACATAAAAATGCTCAGTGCCTTTACATTCTTTCCTATTCCTGAGGCAAAGGATTTGGATGATAATACTATCGTAGGTTTCCTCAAATCTGGGCTCTACTGCAGAAGCTCCACTTCCTTCATAATTCAGAACCCACTGTCCAATATGGTAGTCACTAGTCACACATGGCTACTGAGCATTCGAAGGGAATTAAGATATGTTGTAAGGGTAAAATGCACACTGGATTTCGAAGACTTTACACAATAAAAAGAATATATAATCTCATCCATAGTTTTTACATTGATTCAATCTTGAAAGAACATTTTCTATGTGAGTTAAATAAAATTTAGTATTCAAATTAATTTCACCTGGTTATTTTAACTTTTTAAAAATGTAGCTACTAGAAATTTTAAATTACATTTAAATTACATACGTGGCTCACATTTGCAACTCACATATATATATATATGTATCTACTGGACAGTACTAATTTAGAAAGTCAAAAGGTATTTTAAATGATATGTGTATTATATATAACACTTAAGACATGAATAAACATGTTTATAAGACCCTTTATGTCTTTTGATAGCAAATTCTTATAAAGCCCGGAGTAATATAACAACAGTATGAAAGAGGCATCCTTTATGGAGCTCCAGCTTTCTGATGGGGATAACACTAGATGCTTCAGGTAGATTCTCTGTAATCCTCCCACCAGGGAGGAGTAGTTTGGACCAGGGAGACTGTGTAATTTGCCCTAGATCACACAGCTAAGAAGTGTTAGCTTCGGGCTCTGAATGTAGGTCTGTCTGGACCCTGCAGTACTTCAACTAAAGAAACTGAGAGAGGCCCTGTTTGGAAGTGCCCAAGTGAAGCTGGTCTTACGAAGATGGTCATTATCCACTTCGGGCAAGAACAATCCAAAGCGGTATCTCCCGTTAAGAAGGTGTCTCTTTTCTGCCTTGGACACTGTGGAGTGAACAGTGTTGAAAACCAGCACAGGCACCCAACCGGTCTGAGGAATCCACGGCTCACCCTGCTCTGAGAACGAATCTACAGGAATGATGCAGAGTTTTGAGGAACCAGAGGTGGCAGAACAAGGGTGCCAAGCGAGGTGTGGCCAGCCGGCTTCGGTGCCATCTCTCAGATGAGCGACTCTGCTCAGCCCTTAGCATGGCCAAAGCTCCTGACCCTTGTCCTCTCTTGGAAAATGCATCAGTAACAACAGCACTGAGGAGCAGAAACCTCTAGAAGCCCCAAAGGAAATGACGCTGCCACAGGAGACAGGGGCAGACTCACCAAAAAGATTGCCATAAGGAAGAGATTTCTAAAACCCAAAATATCTCCTGCCATCAGGCGTTGGAAAAATTCGGCATGCAAAACTTGGGCACTCCATCATCCATCTTCCCCCCACAAGACGCTCCCAGTCCGATAGGCGCCGGAAGTCTACCAACATCTGCTCAGCATCACCACAAGTACCCACAAAAAGCAATTTTCCTTCCTGCAGCAGTTGGAAAAGTGGGGTGGGGGGTGACTGGGAGGTGGAAGCGGGCCAGAAAAAAAACACACAGAAAGCTCAGTGACATTCAGACACGAACCTAGGAGTTTCTGAATGGTTCAGAATGGGACACTGTCACCTCTTATTTAATTAGAAGACTGTTTTCGGGATGCAGAAGGCCTAGGCCCGCAATCAAGCACTTACGTAATCCTCCTCATTGAGTCCTTGTTTCTCAACAGAACTTTTCACCTCCATGGAAAACTTCTCAAATTCAGGCTTCACTGTCCTCAGTAGAGTGATTGTTTGGAGGGATGAGTATGCTTGCTTAGCTTCAAAGTCATGTTTGTCTCCTCTCTTCCACGAGCCATCTCCTACAGAGAAATAAAAATATTTATAATTCCAAGGCAGTCACCATAAAGGGACCATTCTCCCCCTTCGACTGCAGCATGTCACTCCGTGTTACTTTTGGCAGCTGGGGCAGACGGTATTGTCATAGTCGTGCCCTTGGACATAACCTGACGATGCCAAGATCCTCAAAGGAGAAGAAGGCCTTTTGGACGCCTGTTCCTTTGAAATGCGAGAGACAAAGCAAAGCATTCTAGAGTTAACTGCTTTATAATAACAGCGTAACCGTAATTTTCAGCCCCCAAGAATTGCAGCCCTGCAGGAGTAAGAATAAAGCTTTTATTCCTTTCCATTCACTTTTTTTTTTAATATCTACAGTCAACTGTGGAGGTCAACCGAGGCATTACTACAGTACGATTCACCTGAGGTTGTGTGGATGTGAAACGACAGGAACGCAGTGTATCACAACGGAGATGCGCAAGTATGATAAAGTGGGCGCTATTCAGAGAAAACCTTTGGAGATTGGGATTATTGATATTTTTTTAACTATTTCTGGAATCTCCTCAGAATGAAGGTGACTTAGGTGACCATGAGGATTTATCTCTCTCTAGTGCTGGCAACCTCATATAAAAATTATTTTTTGGACAATATTCATCAGTGCATCAACAGTAATAAAATAAAAATTGCTAACACTTACTGAGCACATATATAATAATAAGAGCTCTATTTATTGGGGCACCTGAGGGGCTCAGTCATTTCAACATCTGCCTTTGGCTCAGGTCATGATCCCAGAGTCCTAGGATCGAGTCCTGTGTTGGACTCCCTGCTCAGCAAGGAGTCTGCTTCTCCCTCTCCCTGTGCCTTTCCCCACCACTCATGTTCTCTCTCACACGTGCCCTTTCTCTTTCTCAAATAAACAAATAAAATCTTTTTTAAAAAGCTCTATTTATCAACTCATTTAATCTTCACAAGACTCCTTAATGTATGAACTCATTTAATCTTCACAAGACTCCTTGGTTTGGGTATGTTATCCATCCTCTTTTACAGATGGGGAAACTGAGGCACTGAGAAACTGGGTCCCCCCTGCTTCACAGTGCTCCCTTTCACAAAAGCAAAGGCAAATTACATGGATAAGATTTAGTACTCTTCTCTTTATGGTCTCATTTTTGAGGAAACATGTGGCCTGCAGGACCCCAAAAGGAAATGTGGACCTCTAACATTTGGCAATAAACTGTTGTTTCTATGAATTATCCTTATGATCCCTACAGTTCTCTGGAGTCACAACGAAGAATTCAACCTGCTGGAGTCCAGCACCAGAGCCAATTGTTCACACCGAGCCCCTAGTCCACGGCGCACTCCTGGAGCCCAGCAGCTGAGGAGCGAGGAGGATGCTTGCGGAGCGTGCCGCCAGGGCTCCGTGGATCTCACTCTCTTACAGACACAGTTCAAGAAACAGTTGGTGGCTTGGGAACTTCTAGCCCCGCTTAAATCAGACAGATAGTAATCAGCCAGGTACCACACGCAAGGTTCTGTGATCGCCACCCCAGCAGACGTTACGGAGGTCTCGAACAGCCTCCACCACCTTCAGGAGAGGGATTCAGAGCCATCCGTGTGAACAGCTGAAGTTACAGCAGGGAACAGCTAGCTCACTGTGGCAGGAGGCGGGGAGTAGAAAGAAACAATGTGGAGGGTACAGATAGAGGCAAGGAGCTCCCACACTCCCAAGGGGGAAGGTTTCAAGTGAGGAGGAGGCATCGGCCGTCCCTAAGTGTGTGACTAGGCTTTTAACAGAAGGCGAGCAGGATGGAAAGGTGTGCTTGGCCAAGCCCGTGGCACAGGCAAAGGTGCAAATGTGTGTGCCATCCAGTAGGCAGCTGGGAGCCTCAGTCTCGAGCACAAGAAAAGGCCGAGACAAAGAATTTGTTTGTGGAGTTATCTGTGTAATGATAATCCTAATAATAGCAACCATTTATTAATTGCTTCTATGTGCCAGGGAGCTGTTAAAAGATAAATAGACAGAGCTGAGGACAGAATTCATTAAGGACTAGATCCGTTCTCAAGGAGCACAGATTAAATTTCGGGCCACCAAACAAAACTTGACAAAGTCCTCCTCCATATGAAACCTCCCAAACGCCAAGGAGGCGACAGCATGCAGGGCAGGCAGCCGAGCCTGTAGCGAGGGAGAGCTGTTGTCCCTGCCCCCAGCCAGGGGGAGCCCAGCTGCAAGCTCGAGACACAGACAACATGGCCTTTGTTAAGGAGCCAAACCCATTTGCCAGGAAGACCCCCAATTCTAGGAATGTCCAGAACATCTTCATCCCAAGGAGGAACCCATTTCTTTTAAGCGTGCAATCAATATTTATTGATTCCTTTATAACTGATTTGAGATATCAAGACAACAAGAGTCATGTTCTGTAGGCAGAGGGTCAGAGTTTCTCAGCTCTGGGAAAGAGTACTCTCCAGGTGCTTAAGAAAGAAAATACTTAACCCTGAAGGGTTCTACTGCAGAGTTAGACAACACATACGGAACTAGAAACAGCAACTATCTCACTCACTGAAAGAGGAAAACACTTTTCCCAAGAAGTGAAATCCAATACAATAGATCTGTTTACCTCAATCCAAAGGGTAATAACTTGGGAGTTCTGTCTTCAAGAAAAAAAAAAAATGGAAAACAATCATGCTTAGTAAATCTAATCCAAACTAAATGCTTATCTAGTCACCACCATAATCGATCCTGTGACTTCCTGCTTTTGCGGATGTTCCTTATTGTAATGTGTCAGTAATGCTGCCCACACCCAGGCTGTTGAACACTGGAAAAGCAGAGTTGGCTTGGCATGATGCCCCATCAGTAGGGACAAATTTAATTCAGTAGACAACTGGGTGCCTCTGGAGATTTACGAGTGTAACAGAAGAATGACATGATCAGAATCAGGCCTTGGGAAATAGCAATGGATTAGAATGGGGAGACACGGAGGGTTCACAATCACAGCCGTCCAGGCAAGAGGTTACGAGAGGCAATCCAGGGGAAGTCACACACCAAAAAGCTAAGCGTGCTTCTCTGGGTAGCTAGAACCATGGGCAAGTTTTCTTTTCTCTTTTTTCCCTTTTTTGTGTTTTTGGGAATCTAGTGAATTTTCAATAGTAAACATTTACTGCTTTTGGAATCGTAAGAAGAGGGAGAGCCCCTGAGAATGAAAAGCGGAGGACAGTGCAAGAGGAATCTCAAGACTCTACAAGAGTGAGGGAGTGAGGGACAACAGAAAGGGAGGCACATCACATCACATCTGGTGACGCCAGAGAGGAAAGGAAAAGGAGATGTTATTAGAGGAAAAAGCAGAGCCAGATGGAGGAGGAGGGAAATGACATGGAAATGGTAATGATTTCTTTCAGTCAGGGTCACGGTCAATCCAAGGTGACAACACCAGGCTGGAGCTGGAAACAGCGGTCTGAAGCCAAAAGAGGAGTGAGCGCTAGAGAGAGTGTTGGATGTCCTTTCCAGATGCCTTCAAGTTAGACCAGGGCCTAACGGCACTGGATAAGAAAAAAGGAGAAGGGCTGACCACAGACACTTTGGGGATGATATTTCTAGTGGGCAGAAGTACGAGGAGACAGAGAGGAGCTAACAGAGAACCAAAGAATGCCATGCGACCAACACTAGGAAAAACAGGTTTCCAGAAAGAAATTGGTGAAAACAAAATGGAATGCTCTGGACTAGACCTGTGCTGCCTAATAGAGCAGCCACCAGCCACATGTATGACTATTTAAATTTAAATTGATTAAAACTAAATAAAATTTAAAATTCGGTTCATCGGTCACACGTGGCACATTTCAGGTGCCTGGTAGCCACGTGTGGTTAGTAGCTGCCATCCTGGGCAACACAGAACAGAACACAGTCAGCATCACAGAACGTTCCATCGGACAGCACTGCTTTAGAGGCATGGAGGCTTGGTCTGACCTAAGACTAAGGGCTTTGGTGATGAGGTCATCGGTGACCTTGACAATAACACTTTCAGAGTGGTTACTGCTAATGCCATCTTCTTTCAGTGGTCCTGAGCAAGGGATCAAGAAGAGGAAAAAGAAGGCTGCTAGCGAAGAGTAGGGCAGAGGAGGTGATCCTCTGAGGTTGTTTCAGGAATGAGGAAAAATGAATTTGCTTTGTTTTGTTTTAAACATCATGGAGTCCCAAGTTTGTGTTTAGAGTAAGAGCACAGGATATTTGTGAAAGAGGAAACAACAGGGGCGCCTGGGTGGCTCAGTCGTTAAGCATCTGCCTTCGGCTCAGGTCATGATCCCAGGGTCCTGGGATCGAGTCCCGCATCGGGTTCCCTGCTCTGCGGGAAGCCTGCTTCTCCCTCTCCTGCTCCCCCTGCTTGTGTTCCCTCTCTCACTGTGTCTCTCTCTGTCAAATAAATAAATAAAAATCTTAAAAAAAAAAAAAGAAAGAAAGAAAGAAAGAAAGAGGAAATAACCTGCTCACCACCAAGCCCTGGACTCAGCAGTCCTGTGGCCAGGGGTCTGGAGCTGGCAAGAGGTACCCACCCTGGGATAACTAGCTAAGAAATCACAGAATATGTCCAAGAAATGAATGCCTGGAGCTCCCCTGGGCTGACTGTATAGCAGTCTGGCTCTTGACCTCGCCTCACCCGACCCTCTCCAAATGTCCGGGTGTTACACACTTGCCATGACCTAGGCTGGTCCACTTGCTCCCATCAGTAACAACAGCACCGCTTATTGGGCGATGCCATTGTGAATGGCATTGCCGGTAGCATTTCATTCTTCAATCCTCATAAAAACCCCATGAGAAGGATGTAAGCATAAGTGCCACGTTACAGACGAGGAAACTGAGGCTCAAGGAGACTGACGTGCCCCAAGTCACTTAGCCAATAAACAGAAGACGGATTCAAGTGCAAGCCAGACTCCAAACACTGGTGCCATGCCGTCCCTGCTCTATATTCATTTCCCCAGAGTTTGGGGTGTTCCAAGCTTTAAAACTGACCATGCAATGGGATGACAAAAGTGTTAAGAA